ACCAAGCTATGTTGGCTGATTAGAAGCAAGACAGATGGCTGGGCAGGGGCTGAGGTGCTAAGAAATGACAGACAGCCCACCATCTCCAACTCCCCTGTTTAACTCACATAGCTTGGAAGATCCAAGAAGTGAAAGCTGTGTATCCTGACGTCCTGTCCACACCTCTTTCCACTGCTCCAGTTTTTCACGCCTCACAGGGTCTAGTCCTGTCCAGGAAGCCCAGCAAAAGCCTTAAGATGGCATTTTTGTGCCGGAAATAGTAGGCTTCAGCTGTCAGCGGGTAAGCTTAAGTAGAAGAATCTGTACTCCTGAGGTGCAGTGTCAAACACTGCTGACTCCCCGGTGTCCCTGGCTTGAACCCTCTCAGTCATCTTTTGATTATACCCTGCCCTGAGCCACCTCTGCCAACAGAAGGTGAGCCCAGCCAGCACTGACTGACCCCTGACCAAGGGCCAGCGCCGTGCAAAGCACTTCACGTACATTACCTCCTTTAACCCCACAACTGCCTATGGGGGGAAGACTGCCATCACACCCATCTTCCCCACATGGAAAGGAAGGCTTCACGGGATTAAAGCACCTACTCACGGTCCACAGATTTGAAGTGGCAGAGAGGGGACTTGATCCCAGACAGTCACCCCCAAGTTCACCCTCACAGCCCGGTGCTGCACTGCCTGCTTACTGAAACTGGTCCCGGGGGAATCAGCCTTTCTTTCTCCATCACCATGGTTCTGAAACAGAACCCCCCTAAAAGCGAGTTCCCTTACCGAGTTGATGACTAACGTCCCCATTAAAAACTTTATTCCCTTTCTCCTCCTCCCTGACCTCAACCTCGTGCTAAGGAAACAATCACCAACCAGAGTGGGATTGCTGTTGTCCACATCTTCATTAACATATCGACTCAGGCTCTCCCAACAGGCCCCCAGGCTGCCTGGCCAGAGAACTGTAAACTGGACACATCCTGACTCCTGAAACTGAGATTAAGAAATGTCGCAAGACGATGATTAACCCCAGCCTCTTTGCTCTTCTCCTTTAAAAACACCCCCAACTCAAAGACCAAGCTGGAGTAGATCTGAGGCTTGTCTCCCACTCCCTTGCTTGGCGCCCTGCAATAAATCTGTACTTTGATGCAAACTCCTGCTGTCAGAGTTCAGCTTTCTGCACCATGGGCATGGGCACACGGGCACTTTGCCCTGTTACATTCAGTCCTCATCATCTCCCGTCTAGAACACTGCTCAACCTCTTCTCACAGCCTCTTCTCTGGTATCTTCACCATTCCATCCATTTCTGCTCATCTTCCAAAACCGTGATTTCCCTCTGTGGGAATCAGTTTTCCATCAATGCTCCAATTCTCTGCCGGTTATCAACTGGGTGTCCAACAATTCAATTCAGTTCAATCCAATGTCCACCTGGAGTGAGCCTCAGATCCCACAAATCATGAGCTCAGAGCCCCAAGCCTGCCCCTACTTCAGATGCCAGTTACAAGATTTGGGTTACTTGTACTTCTGAAATACCAGCTATAGATCAGGGATTCCCACAAGCTCCTCCACAGGTTTGATAATTTGCAAGAATGACTCACAGAACTCAGGAAGGTGCTTTGGTCACTATTACGGGTGTATTATGAGGATACAACTCAGGAACAGCCAAATGGAAGACATGCACAGGACAAGGTGTACAGGTAGGGGGCGCACAGAGCTTCCATGTCCTCTCCAGGTGCACCATCCTCCCAGCATGTCAATGTGTTCGCAAACCCAAAAAAGCTCTCTGAATCCCATCATTTAGGTGTTTTTATGGAGGTTTCATCACATTGACGTGATTGATCAAATCATCAGCCTTTGGTGATTAACTCAATCTCCGGGCCCCCTCCTCTCTCCTCCCCTGTGGTCAAAAGTTCATACCCTCTCATCATGGCTTGGTCTTTCAGGCCACCAGCCCTTATCCGGAAGCTGCCTAGGGTCCCCAGATATTAATCACCTCATTAATACACAGAAGCCACTCATTACTCATGAGATTTCGAGAGTTTTGGGAGCTGTGTGCCAGCTGTGTGCTGGAGACAAAGACAAAATATTTATTTTTTATTAACCACAGTGGCCATCTACTCATGCTTCCCATGACAACAGAGAAGAGCCCATGCTTCTCAGGGTGGCCTGTAAACTGTATACAACCTCACCTCCCCTGACTCCTGGTCCACCTTGCAGATTCCTGCCTCTGCACCTTTGCCTCATCCTTGTGCCCCTTCACTGAACCGAAGCTGAATCAAAACACTTCTTAGGACGCCATTTGTTTAGAGATGTGAGGAACCTCAGGTTTTACAGATGAGGAACTGGTTATCTAGACAGGTGAATGGCATAGCCCCCCATCATGCCAGTAACCCGCCAAACTCACACAGTGAGTGCAGCCACGCCATCTTCCTGTGCCTCCACCAACACAGCTACACCAACTAGGGGCTTCTGACGTCTGCCCTCTAGAATTCTCTGCCTAGCAGCTGGGGGTCTCTAGGCTTGGCGTGGGGCTCCAGAACTGCTAGAAGTGTGCCAGCAGCTCCCCTTGGGACACGGAGGTCCAGAAGGTCTACACCTCCTCAAAGACTCCTGTTCTCGAGAACTCCTGCGGTTGAACTACATTCTAGCAGCTTCCTCTTTGCCCTCCATACCCACACGTCCTTAGATGTGGCTCCTCTAGCCAGGTTGTTTCTAGAGAACTGGAGATGCCTTTCTACAACTGTTTTCCACCCTGATCTACATCTCCAGCTTCCTGGGAGTCCAGATGCGGCGGCGGGTGGGGGAAGGGGGCATGTTAACAGCAGAACAGCAATCAGTTCCCTGAGAGCAGTACGAGCAAAACGTCACTGGAAAGAAAAATCTCTGTAAAACAAGAATATGGCAGAGCTTTATTGTATGCTAAAGCCTCACAAGAACTAGGGTTTAATGCAGGTCAGATCATGTTCGTCAAACCCCAGAAGGGCACAGAGTAATAAGAAGCTATCAGGAACCTGGCTATCAGCCTTACTGTTGGCTCTCTTCCCATTCTGTACCCTCTGCCAACATTATATAGTCGCCTATTTTTCTCAGGCCCCAGTCCAATTATTTTTGGTGAAATTTAAAAGACAGTAATTCCATCCAATAAAAAATATTCTAAACATTCCCAGTGGTGATGGGTTGTAACTTGCAGCAGACTGCTTCAGCTTCACCCAGTGTCCTGTCATAAACACTTGATATGACAATTAATGTCATGAACTTAATTTGACTTAAAAGAGGAAAATATTAGGGAAAATTAGGAATTATCCTTTTTTTTTCCCCATCAAAAGGAGCCTACACAACTGTGGAGAAAACAGTGTCACAAAAAGTTTAGAAAGTTGTGCTTTGTATATGAAAACAAACTCGTGTAAGGTTTATTCTGCCCTCTCGGGAGGGGGAATGCAGACACAGGCTAGTAACAATCCAATTTTATAAATATTTATTCTGTCATCACATAGGACAGAGCATCAGACAGGCTGACCTGTGGAAATAAGAATGCCTGAGGCCACACAGAATTCTTGAGACCCGTGATTCTTTTGTGGAGTCCAGATGCTGGTGAGCCCGCAGATAAACCCTAGGGCTCAGAGATCCCTTTAAATTGCTGCTGCTTTGAGCGCTCCTGATAACTTTAAAACCAACAATCACAATGGAGCGGAGTTCTCTGCCCTTCACACATCTTTCTTGGGAAAAACCCCCAAGACTAAACAACTCTACCCTTTTATCTTTTCCTGTCCTCCTCTCTCCAAGTTTCCAGGGGAAAAATATGCTTCGTGCATTGCTGAATTCTGTGCTCCTGTCACACAAAGTGTGCTGTTAGCCTTCTGTATCCCAGCCTGGACCTCCCCGCCGTCCACTTCCACGCCCATGGACTCCACAGATTTCCCTGGCCGCTTGCTCTGTTCTTCCTCTTCTAAAGCCCCTAGCATTTCCTGCCTCCAGTTTCTCCACAGAATCCCTTCACTCCTGGATTTTACACAAGGTTAAACCTGGGTGGTAGTTTGATTTACAAACAGCAAACACTCTCTCTCTCTGTTTTGATCATACTTGTTTATTACTGTGTAGCTCCTTTCTGTTCCTCTTCCAGAATTTAGTCCAATAAATAAGGCACCACCTTTAAAAGAGCACTGGGGAACTTGGACTTAAACTCTCGCACATGTTTTAAGAGCCTCTCTTCTCTTAAATTGGACTCTCTTCCTAAATTTCTGCTGCCAAACTGGTTTTATTGAAATCCTTTGAAACCCAGTGTTCTCAGCATTTTGGTCCTCTCTGGAAGTTCCTCTCTCTTTCTCTCTTTCTAAAAAAATCTATAAAGTCGAGTCTGGTAATAAGAGCTAACATTTAAAGAGGCCACACTGCCAGGGAAGCCTCTGAAGTAGATACAGTTATCATCCTCACTTAATATAGGCTGGAACTGAGGCACAGAGTCAACTGCACACAGAAGTGTCCGGCCGGGATTCCACCCAAGGCTGCGAGCTTAATCATGCTTAATTAAGGTCTGGGGTCAAAGGGATTTGGAGTCCATTCTTATCCTGTCTCCGTCTTTCGAAGATGGTGACCTAGATAATGTACTTAACCTCTTTGACACTGAGTTTGTTTACTTTCCAGTAAAATCAAGATAAAGAGTTTCTTCGATAGTCTGAGCAGTAAGTAAGAGATGCGTGATGGGTCTACTTCGGTCTTAGGCACTGGATAACTGGGGTGCCACGAACCCCTTCACAGGTAGGGCTGCGTCCCGCTCCTCTAAGTGCCCCATCTCACAGTGCGGGGGCAACACCACCAGCTCGAGACTAATCTTTCAAGGGACTTCTAGGTCTGCGTCCGCCTCGCACACCGACCAGCCTCGCTTTCTCCCCATATCGCCCTGCGCACCAGGTCCCAGGTTCGATGCCTGCGCCACGCAAACGGCGGCTCCCGCATCCCAGCTTCCCTCTGGGTCCGGGACTCCTCCCCCGGGGGCTCCCCAGCCTCCCGGGCTCGCCGTCTTACCATGGCATCGTAGCTCAGGGCGTTCATGAAGTGCGCCACCTCGGCGCCCTTGTACACGGTGAACCAGATGGTGCCCTGGTACTGGTCTCCGGCGTCGAGCAGCAGCACGTGGGGCTCGGCGCGGCGTATCTGCCGCACCTTGGTCGCGAGCCGCGCCACGCCGCCCACGCAGCGGCTGGCGTTGACGCACTTGCCCGAGTCCTCGCTGGTCTGCTCCAGGCGGCTGTGCACGTCGTTGGTGTGCAGGACGGTGAGCTCCCAAGCGCCGGCCGCCGGCCACAGCAGCGCCCACAGCGCGAGGAGCCGCAGCGCCAGGACGCGTGCGGCTGGGGGACGCATGGCCGCGGCTCGTGGGGAGGGC